GGGGGGGTTGTTGTGGAGGGAACAGAACAAATCTGAAATTGCAGATGTTATAAAAATCATGAAACAAGAACTGCTTAATTTCTGAAGTTAAGATTTACAAAATATAAGTCACAGCAAGTCATATATGCATTTCTAAAATAAGAATTCTCCCCAATGGGGCAAGTGCAATGAATAAATAGAATCCAATCTGTCAATCATTTGACTCACAATCCTTTCAATAAGTGACTATCAAGAAAAATCAGTCAACGTGGCACATGATAAGATACAAAGTATACACTGGACATGAAAAGAAATACTCAATACAGGAAAACAGTTAGTAAGGAACAGGAAATCACCTTGTGGTCTATGCCACGAAATGAAGTAGTATATGGATTTTTATCATCGGTCTCATTTGTGTGGTTGTAAACAACATCTAAAATGACCTGTGGAAAGCAAACATAAAAGGTGCATCAAACACTAGTTCTACATTTAAGATCAAACTTTTTAATTCAACAATTAGCCATAAAATAAAATTTTTGAAGTACAAATCATGAAAAGTGTAGAATATTACCTCAATTCCTGCACCATGCAATGCCTTAACCATCGATTTGAATTCCCGCGAAGCATTACTTGATCCTCCACCATTGCTTGCATATCGACTCATAGGTGCAAAGAAATTTATAGTTGAATAACCCCACGTATTGATCTCGCACGCAATAAAATTGGAAACATCGGATTTAATTTATTCAACAACACTTTTAAATTCCAAAATGATATAAGATCAGCCAAACAGCATAACAGCTCATAGTGCATGAGCATGACCAGAATAGATCAGTGTCCACAAATATGCTACACAATTTGATGAGGACTCCTTTCATTAAAGTACGGTAGAGCACAGAGTGGCTTCTGGAGAAAGATTTGACGCAAAAGTGGCTCATGCACAAAAGATTAAACTTTTTAGCATACATAGAATTGAAACTCACCATGTGATCTCTTGGATTTGGCTGCCTTTGAAACTCCATTTCATCAAACTCAAACACAGGCAATAGTTCAACTGCATTGACACCAAGCTCCACAAGATGTGGTATCTTTACAGCATTTGAGTCCATTCAAATAGCAAAGTAGCAAACATTAGAACCCATCAGAACTTTCTTCCTAAGAACAGCTCATTAGAAACAAGGCACCATCATGGCAAATTATAATGCTTTTCTGCTTTAATACATCATATTTTCATAGATGTAATATATCATTATGTGCTGAACACGAAAAACAGGGTGTTCATCTGAGTGGAATGACTAAGTTTCTTTTGGGTATGTTACTGCTTTTGCAAGAAATAAAGCTATATGAACAGTTGCCAAAGGTGGACGATAAAATGAAAATCTGTTGTGTAAATACTGCAAAAGCTTTTGCAGCATATAGCAGAAGAAACGGTAGGCCTGAGAAAAATTCTCTCTGTTCTAATATAGGTCAATTCGTATTTCTGGGTATCCCACAAAGATAGGCTTGGTGGACATTTTGTTTTTCCTTATGTTACAACTTACACTACGATGTGAAAACTGGAGCTTTATATAACATAAGTCTTTTCCCTAAACAAATATAAGTGGAAATCACAAAGAAATATTCAGGAAGAACGAGGGAATCGCCCACCATTAAAGACAAAGAAAAAACGTAGATTTTCATGATTATAAAGATATGGTATGGCATAATGGCATGATCAAACTAGACAGCTACATTTTAACGCACCATACTCTAACAGATGCAGAACATCTAACAGTTATCAACACAAACAGATCAAAGAAAATTTGAATTTTACACCACCAAAAACTAGCACCTTCTCTATCACACCAAGGTAGCTGCCACGTATATTTGGATCCAGCCCACTGGATTCATCAGCTGTGAAGGCGCGCACATTCATTTCATATATTACAAGATCCTTCTACAAAACCAATACAGAAAAATGAAATTTACAAGAATCAAAAGGACCAAAACTCTTGCACAGGTAAATGATGGGTATGTATACATTTCCAGAACAAGAGGGGAAAGCATTTTCAAGTAATGAGGCAAGCTATTCATTGTTACTTAGCTCATCCACTTGTTACAATACTTCCATGAGTCCAGTCAGCCAATGGAAGATCAAGACCTAGACTGGACACCGGCAACTAGGTTATGAAGACCCTTTGTTTAATTTAACGACATGATACAGCCAATTCTAAATCATCCACAAATGGAGATTCGAATTTAATACAGGTCAGAGTTTGAACGAACCATGATAATGTTTTTTGGCTGCTAGTAGTCTAATACCTATTCTCAACCCCAAAATCAAAGAAGACAGACAGCAGAAAATAATTAGAACCAATATATAAGTATTCTGAGATCTTCAAAATAATGTCTCTCTGGTGGTTTATGGAACATATTTATTTATACCCTCTTGATTTTGTAAATTCTCCTAACAAACAACATAAAAAAAGCTATTGATAAAACTCGGTAAACCTCCATGTTGAACATTGCCATGTAACTCATAGTTCGAAAATGAAAATTTGAAAAATTACATGTACTTGTTAGAGTTCACTAGTTGTTAAACATTAAAACAAGTACATTTTTGGCAACCTCAACTCAACATAAATACAGACAAGCAAATAAAGTTTGGTCTGTATAATTATTTAAGTACATCTATTATTAATAGCTTATTTTAAATGTTCCACACAAGACATTATGAACCAGCCATTTACTTCATGCAGTTTACCTTACCTCGTGTATGTTTGGAAGCTTATAGTTGGGTCCCCAGTCAAAAGGTGAGCAATCAAAATCATATGTTCCGAAAAACTTAGACATCTTGTAGTTGGCATCACCGAATACTCGGCGTCCTTCGATCAACTTTGCATATGGATCGAGCAAAATATTCTCATAATCAAAACGATGGCCTTGATGCCAGTCTGGAGGGCCGTCAATGCGATAACCATATAAAACATTATTCCGTGGCAAATCCTTTTTAAGGAGAACAGAGAAAACAAAAAAACAACAACGTCAATTCTAGAATCAGTATAACCCCCTGAAGGATATTGTGTGTAAAATACAGCAAAATTAACACCAGTTAAAAAAACTACGCAAAAAAAAATAAAAATAAAAAGTAAACCGTCAATCACAGGGACATTCAAAGACTCAGATGGAAAACCAAAGAGCATTCGTAAGAGTTTTAACTAATGGGACACCTGTATCTCGCAAGAAATACTAAAGCCAAAATATCCATTATGAAACTTAATTGAATACCTCCTTGCTGAGTCATGCAACCTTTTAGGCAGTGAAAGGTTACCATGGTAATACCAGCCAGGTAGCTGCAACATATGATATTTAAAAGAAAATCTTTGTTCACTGCTATTTTACTTCATAATTGTATCTCTCCCGAAACAAAGCAGAACACAACTAGTTCTTCAACAACTCAGTAAAATCGGAAGACCCCGATGAAAAAGAAATTATGCCTCAACGTTTAATCTTTTAGCATCTGGGTGAAATCTGAAAATGTATATCCAAATGAAAAAAAAAAAATCCAAAGTTTTGGCTTCAACGTCATACCCGATGACCCTTCTCAGCATCACAGCTCTTTAAGCCCAACAAGGCCTAAATAGGGTACAGAATATTTGAAAAAAAAAATTAATCGAAATGCATACGTCTACTAGAGCTTTCCACTACCAAAGATACAGTAGAAGAACTCGTAGAACAGAGACACACACAGAACTGCAGGACTAGCATTCTCTTGTATCAAGTTTATGCCTAGATAAGATCACAATCACAGATATATATATATTCAACAATTCAACAATATGGCCTCTTTAGTCATACAAGAGCCACGCACATCCAGGAAACAGGGTTATTAGTTTAGCTTCAGTTTCTATTCTTATATAGAAAGCACTGTTAAGAAGTTAATTTTCTACATTCATATGATTCGTTTAATTTTCTTTGTACGCAGAAGAATATCTGAACATTGTTCTACAAAATGGAAAAGTCAATTTAGAAACATTAACATGAAAAATATATTGAACTACCTGCACGCAGATGTGCCATATATCTCCTGTCTTATTTACTTTTGGGTCCAGTGGTAATTCAATCAACCCTTGATCAAGTACATCGTGTAATCCCCTGAGTATATATCACAACACAGACAAAAGAGGATAAACCATATGAGAAAAAAAGCCTTTTATTCTAGAAGATCATATGCTATAACAACTTTGAAAGTCAAACACTATACTTGTAATAGAATCATCTTGAAATCTACAAAATTAAAGATACCCAATTCAAGTCATAAATAGACAGAGAAATTTTTAGAGGTATGAAGGCAAACAAGCCTATCACATCAATGTTAGGGAAAAACGGGACCTTTTGATTTGTCTTGTCAACATGAAGGATACTGATGAAAAATTTATCCAAAAATAAGATGACTCTATATAGCAAAGAACTCCCATATTCTGGGTATAAAAGATAGCAAGAACTGTATAGACGTAAATTACAAATTCGACAAACAATATGGCCAGAATAACTTACCTAGATTGAAGAACTAAACAAAGTGTAACAGCAGTAGCATTTTGAGAGAAAATTGCGAAATTGGTTCCACTCTCAACCTCCGAGGCTCCTAGAGGATGAGCTTGACCAGGTAAAACTTTCAGCATTTTCTCTTCTACCAGCTGGATTGCTTCATCCTTGAAATGAGAACAAAAATATGATATTATGATTAGTCTGCAAAAAATATCACTTGTGATTATTACAACAAAAACATCGACAGTATTTCACAGCTATTCATGTCATGACTAAGCCACCAACTCAAAACAACGGGCACTCAACAATGTTTACCATAATCAAGTATAGATAATATATATTCCTATCACGATAGTTTAACAAATATTCAAAAGAAATAATAGATTAGATATAAAATGATTTACTACTGACAGAGAGAGAGGGAGAATTTAAGCACTCAATGACCCGTTTATTAAATACAAGTAAACGTAATCAAACAAAAAACAAAAAGGAAACAAGAAACATCCTCAAAGCACATTTGCAAAACCAGACCACAAATAAGAAAGTCATAAACCCAAATGAAAGTAAATTGGGCCAAGAGTTTGAGATTCCGACACACAAGAATTCATCTACGGCCATACTTACAGTTACTACACTCTGTTCACCAGCTCGAGCTGCAACCACGGGAGAGCTAGTTCCGTACCTTCCACCCATTCCTTGCCTAACCTGAATCAGTTTTTCTCTATTTCTCAACCCTAAGGTTCTGATACTTCGGAATTGAGCAGCACAGTAAGATGACGAAAAAAGAAAGGACGATCTTACTTCGCGGGAAAATCTCTTGAGGGATGACGCCTTTTCAATCGATTTCAGTCTGCAGCTGCAATGAAAACTGAGGAGGTCGATAAATCAGCCAAAATTACAATGTGGCCGCAATAACTAAACAACGCAAAAGGAAATAGGCAAAAATGGCGATTGTTTTACACTGTACCGCATAAAAATGGGGCGAGCACCAAGCGCGGGCACGAGGGCGGAAAGCTTCGTGGTCCGGAGAGTTGAATCTGAGCGCAACATGGCTCTCGTAGCCAATCGATCGTCGCAAGCGTTTGGGTTTTCAGTTCATCGAGCAGATAATGGAGACATTATGAGCAATTGGGAGCTTTAGCGCGAGAAGGGATGTACAGTTCTTACTTCAGGCTTTTGGGTTTGGGTTTGTGAGCTCCGTGGACGAAGGTACAACATCTGCCACGTCAACAATATATGGAAAGTAAAAATAGCTATATTTTCACTCGATTTGGCTCAATAAAAAACAAGTTTTCACCCCAGAAACTGCCAAAGGCATTGTGCGATGAATATGCGACAATTGCACGATGACATTGTGCGAAAGTTTATAGTGCGAAGGCATTCGCATATCCTTCGCACTTTATGGGGTGAAAAAAAGTTAAAGTGCGAATGCATTGTGCGAAGAATATGCGACAATTATGCAATTCATATGCGGCAGTTATGCAGTCTATCGCATAACCTTCGCACTTTTCAAGGTGAAAAAGTTAGATTATTAGTGGACGGTGTGAAAAAACTTAATATATCTTTGTATTGGGGTGAAAAAAAAAATCCCTTATGGAAATGTCTTGATTAATGGGCTTTATGTTTCTGGGCAAATATATGTATGACAGACAAATCAGGTAACATAAGAAAAAGTCTTGATTGGGTTTGCAACTTAGCATCACAATGCTTAACATCGAGTTCAATCACAAAAAAATTACATGTCACATAAGATATAGTCCTAGTCTAAAAAATTGTATTCTCCAATGCAAACAAAAGTAGACTAGGTCCTGTTGATGTGGCAGCCATAAAAAAAGACACAGTCTACCCTTAAGTCTATTTTAGACTCAAGCAGAGACTTAGTCTCTTTGCATTGGAATGGATTTTATTAATTTTGGATAATTTTATCCATGTCATCAAAGGCTTGGGTTTATTTATATGCCACATAGACAAGACTTGACCCAATGCATTGTAGATGTGTAGATGTTATCCACAACCCTTAACATAAATACCATTTATTCAATCAGAAAGTAATACACTCTCTCATTCACATTATTACTGCATCATCTTTCCACTAAATCTCACTCCATTTAAACACACCCACATTCCTACACATTCATTTAGAGACATATATGGGACCCATTATTACTCATTCAATATAAATTTTTATATTATATTCTCAAAAACACAATTTAATATTTTCGAATCATAATAATAAATTTTAAATGCATGAAAATAAAAGAACACTACAAGACCAAAATAACTTAAATTAAGATTACACAGAAAAAAAAAGTTGTCATTCATGACCCATACTTTATTTTCTGACACATTAATTGAGTTATCAAATTGATAAACGTGTCACGGCTCATGCCTTATCTTCTGACATGTTTATTTGTGTCAGCAAATCGATTAACTTTTCAGAGTCATATCTTATGTTCTGATATTTATTTTCATAGCAAGTTGATTAGTCATATTGTTTAAAAAAAAACAATGCATCTCTCAAATACAAAGAACAATTTAAGTTGGAAAGACATACTACAAATATAATTTCGAACAAGAACAATTTAATTAAAGACTGACTAACAATTTAACAAGAACAATAACAACTTAAATGAAATACATGCTAAAAGTTCAATATCTCCAATCACAACATACGGAAAGACAAGGATAATTAAAACAGATAATACAACGTCTACAAGTTCCATTTCTCTCGAATTACTTGACACATTTTTTTCATGAGAATACGCTGCTCTTCGGTCATGCGGCTTGTGTCCCTCGTTAAAATATCATAGTCTTTCCGACGATTTCTCTGCTTCTTCTCCTTAAGAGTAGCTTTTTTAACTTCAACTTCAGCTTTTTTCAAGCTAGTTAATTCACCAAGATGTTTAACCATATTGTTGTATTCTGTGCCATCTCATCAAGGTTATATTTGCCTTTTCTCTTGGTCTTTCGTTTGGCTTCCTTCTGTTCAATGGGGCATGCCACTTCATGAAGTTCATCTAAGTCAATGCTTGCATCCCCCTTTGATGAAGTATTGCTGGCACCAGACTCATCAATTCTCGTCTTTTGTCTCTCAACAAAAATTTTATTAGTACACTGTGGGGTGTACATAGGACGATCTTTCAGGATTCTCCATACATGCTCAAGATTGAAGGCTACACCATCATTCTCAATACGATATTTTAGTAATCCCGACTTAATATATCCTCATCACTACAACCACTTTGATAAACACTGTAAACACTGTTATAGTACTCGTTGAATCGATACACCTTTTTTTAAATCGTATTATGCCAGTGAGATCTTTTTATATTAGCATTTCTGTGAATATAATCGTTATAATATTTTGCAACACGTATCCAAAACGCTTCGGCCTTCTGATCATTACCGATAATTGGATCGTCTCCTATTGTCACATAAGCTTTTGCCAATTGCACATCCTCTTTCTTTGTCCATTGTGGACGTTTTTTCCGGCCTTCACCAGCAACATGTGTGTTCTTTTGGGATTTCAACATTAATAGTTGTTGCACGATCCTGTAATTGTATGTCTGGAACGTAAGTTTGAGTATCAGGTTCTTTTCTCCTTTGGGATCCGGAAGATTGACTCGATTGTTGCGGAGAAGATTGCACCAAATTTTGACTACTCATGTATTGCCAGTATTCAGGCGGCGGGTTTTGAAATAAAACTTGTGGAGGATATTGTGAATATTGAATATTGGTGGAATTTGGATAATTTTGAGATTGTTGTTGCATAAAAGGAAAATTTGACGGGAATTGTGGGAAAAATTGTGCATGATAAGGAGTTTGTGAAAATGGTAAATTCGGCGGAATTTGTGAACTTGGAAGAATGGAAATTCATCTGGATTGCTATGATTAGAACTTGAGAAATTTTGAAATTCTTTCCTATTATTCAGATCCATTTGTTTTTAGGTAAATGCACAGTTGCTAAATTTTCTGGTGTAAGAGAAGTAACAAATTTTTTTGTGCAAGAGAAGTGACAAACTGAGGTGTATTTATAGGCAAAGAACTGAGATAGAAAATGTAAATTATTGATACATATTGGGAAGTGTGAATATGGATAAAATTTTGAATTTATTTATATTGAGAAGTGTGATATAGATTAAATTGAATTAAATATATATAAAAAATAGATAAATTAAATGAAAACAAAAAAAAGCAACCAAATTACATTAAATTTAAATGAAAAACATAAAACGAATAAAAAAAGGCCCATGAATGCCGTTAAAATAAGAAAAAATAAGAAAGGCTCAAAAAAGTCGTTCAAAGCAATGAACGGAGACAAGGGATCCACCAATATATGAACGCCAGCAATGCCATGAACGGGGATGGACCATTTAAACGGAAAGATATAACGCTGCAATGCGGATGCTCTAAGGGCATCTGCATTGCCAGTATTCATTTAATCATCAGCCACATTATCACTCTTCCACATCATCTTCATGGCACCAATTGTTTTAAATATGCTCCATTTGAACAATAACTCGTACTCTTTAAAATCCATTTAAATATTGAGGGACCCACTAAATAGAATTAAAATAATACAATGAATTAACAAAATGAAGTAGTCTCCTTTATACTGGGCCCACATTTTGTGGCTTAATGTCGTTCAATCAGATTAACGGCATAATAGGTCCCGTAAGCCCGTTTCATTTAAATGAACGCTCACATTGCATCAAATGATAAGTTTTGCCTTTAAATGGCATACTCTTAACGTCCGATGTGGATGCTCTAATAATCATCTTGAGCACATGCACTAATGCATATAAAAGAATATAAGTAATATGTGTGAATTTAATATTAAAATTTAAACAATAAACGTATCACATTTTCGAGATTTGATAATAAATAAAAATAAAATAACATAAATATAAATTATTTAAGTATATATAAATCACTTTATTGATTGAAAAAGGTTTGTGGGTAATTTAATTATTATAATTTGGAGGGATCATGGTCAAATAATTTGGTTGAAAAATTGTTATTATTATTATTATTATTATTATTATTATTATTATTATTATTATTATTATTATTATTATAGCAAAAATAATTTATAAGATTCTAAAGTGGTTTGACTATGCTACTAAAATTATTTAACTATTTTTTTATTTATTATTGAGAAAATTGTTTCATGAGATGCAAAAAAAATAAATAAATAAATAAATAACGAAGGAAACAAAATTTGCAATAGAAGTTTTATACTTATGTAACTTGTATTTGGTGTGAATCTTTACCAGTTGTTGTTATTATTATTATTATTATTATTATTATTATTATTATTATTATTATTATTATTATTATTATTATTATTATTATTATTATTATTATTATTATTATTATTATTATTATTATAGCAAAAATAATTTATAAGATTTTAAAGTGGTTTGACTATGCTACTAAAATTATTTAACTATTTTTTTATTTACTATTGAGAAAATTGTTCCATGAGATGCAAAAATAAATAAATAATAAATAAATAAATAAATAAATAACGAAGGAAACAAAATTTGCAATAGAAGTTTTATACTTATGTAACTTGTATTTGGTGTGAATCTTTACAAGTTGATAATAGCATTAACTACTATATAATATAATATCAAAGAATCTATGTATATATAGAGAGATGTGATCATATAGAATGGTATATAGTGAAAGAATTAAGAATGATTTTGGATCATTGGATCTAACATATCAATGACTATGATAAATATGGCAATCAACATACAATGGCGATTTTGTAATTAAGTATACATATCATGGTCAATTTTTTGCATTTGACCACTTAATAAGGATAGATTTGTCATTTCTCATCCATCCACTAACTAGTGGACCCCACCCACTACACGTCCCACCATCTCCATCATCAGCTTTTTCTCCCTCTCACACCTCAACATACAGTTCACGCACAAAAAAACACACACCCAACCGGTCAACACACCACCACCGGATATGCTTCCGCCAACAATCAAACCGTCGCCACCATAACTTCGCCGCAATCGACACCGTCTCCG